TTTTAGTTCTTTGGACCGGTGTAGCCTGGAAAAGAACTCACTCAAGGAATGGATCCTCTGCCTTCCGATTTCCCAGGGGCTGGCCTGCGAGGGGCTGGCCTGCGAGGGGCCGGAAAGGGTGTCTGTGGGTCCCAGAGGACAGAGCAGACAGCGAGGGGAGCAGGAGGGCCACACGGAGGCCACTCCAGGCTCGAAGTCAGAAGTGCTTTCTCACAGTAAATATGGCCTGTGGAGACTTGGAGACGGTAACGCCACGCCCAGCCAGGTTCTCCGAGTTCTGTGAGGCGAGCAGGCGTATCTCCCCTGATTTAGAGCTTGAATCCCCCATAAATCATAGGCCTGGTCCTGGCTGACCGCTGGCCTGAGGGGCGGAGGGCGGATGTGGCCTCCTGATTGTAAATGGCCTGCCCTGCCTGGGCTATTAGCAGCTCAGTCAATAGCCGGTCCGTCTGGCTGATGCTGCTAATGTGGGTCCTTCAGGCACCGAGCAGCCTGCGCCTCTGGGGAGGCCGAGCGGTGGCCGGCCGGCCTCTGCTCTGAGGCCTGGAGGAGCCCGGGCTCAGCTCCGGGAGCTGCCTCATCGCAGGAGCCTGGCCCTGAGCGCCTCCCGGGCTGACCCGGAGCCGTGGGTCTGAATGGGGCTCTGGGCACTTCGCCTCCTGCCAGCCGAGGCCGGCCCACACTCACTCATCCGAGGGCCCTCGGGGCAGGAATTGGGGCATGGCCCTGGGCCAGGGGAGAGATAAAGGCCCTGGAGCAGCTGGGTGTGCCATGGCCCCGATGCCCTTTGACCCAGGAAAAGATGCAAGAGAAGGGAAAGGCTGTGTGCAGGAAGGGGGCAGGACACAGACTCAGAAAAGGCTGAGCACAGGAAGGACCGACCCACAGCTCCCCGCCCTGGGCTGGACCCTGCACAGGACCTGGGCAAGCCCCTTCTGCAGCGGGGGGCGGAGAGAGAGGGGGTGACCCCCTGGGGGTGCCTGCCACCCGTAGGTATGGAGCTGTGCTGGCTTTTTACCACTCCTGGTCTCTCGGAGCCCTTCAAGACCTGCAGTTTTAGGACATTTTTGACTAATCCCAGAAGAACCTGGCTTTTCAGAAAGCCTGGAATTGAACCTTAAATACCTTTTTTATTGTAAAAGTTATAGTTTGTATAGAAAGTTTGGAGGGAAAAAAATTTTAAAGACATAGAAGATGATAAAAACCATTCATTTAGCCCTAACCGTTTGGCTCAATGGATAGAGGGTCGGCCTGCGGACTGAGGGTCCCAGGTTCAATTCTGGTCAAGGGCATGTACCTTGGTTGCGGGCACATCCCCAGGAGGGGGTGTGTAGGAAGCAGCTAATCGAAGTTTCTAACTTTCTATCCCTCTCCCTTCCTCTCTGTACAAAAATCAATAAAATATATTTTTTAAAAACCATTCATTTATCTCACCATCTAGAGATAACCATTAATAACATTTTGGTGTATTTTTGTCCAGTTGTTTTTTTCTCAGTTTTGACATACACATGGATGTGCGTACACTCCCGCACAGACACCTAATAATAGCGGCTCTTACTTGAGCACTTAAACCCATGAGGACATCGCCAGTCGGCTTTCCTGGCACAGTAGCTCACTTTACCCCCATAGAGAGAGGTGATTATTCACTCATTTTATAGATGGGGAAAAGGTAAAATTTGAGCAGACTTGATCATATTTCAGTCCTTGAAAGCTCCCCTGGTGACAGCGTGCAGGCCTAGAGCTTGGACCAGGGGTCCGCGGCTGGACCCGGGTCCCGTCCGTGCAGACCTGAGCCAGGCCCGTGGGCGCAGGGCTCTCACCACAGGGCCCTGGCGCCAGATGCTGCCTCTGCGCGGAGGGGGGGTCGGGGGGGGGGCGATGACGGGGAGCACGCCCTCTCTCTCTTCCCTGTCCAGGGACCTCGTTTGTCAGCCGTGGAGAAGGCGGGACCATCAGAAAGAAATGGAACTTTAGGCCGCCTGCCTCTTTACACATCACTGTCAACACTTGTCCAAATTCTCTCCCTCTCTCTCTCTCTCTCTCTCAATGGGTATGTGAGGGGGTATTTTTTTTTCTGAATTCTCAGAGGGCACATTGCGTCCATCTTTGCCCTTTCTAAGGTGACCAGATGTCCCGCTTTTGGTGGGACAGTCCAGATTTTTAACAATTTGCCCCGAGTCCCGCGATGTTTAAAAAAAAAAGTCCCGATTTTGGGGGGGAGAAATTGGGAGTTTTTAAAAAAGCCACGGGACGCGGGACAAATTGTTAAAAATCGGGACGTCTGGTCACCTTACCTTTACCCCTAAATACTTGAGTGTATTTGGCGATATTCTATAATATAACCTCAGTACGTTATCAAGTTCACATTACAGTAATACTTTAATCTACTGTCCCTTTTCCAATTTGTCAAGTAACATCCTTTGTGGAGTTCCCCCTCCAGTGAAGCGTCCACTCCAGGTGAGGTGTCTGGGACCCTTCTTGAGGGGGTAGAGCCGAGTTGGGCCGTGTGTTTCTGAAGGAGAGCCCAGCACCTCCGCCTCTGTTTGCAGACCTACTGTGATGCATGCATGAAGCCCCCACAACCCAGGGGCTCCGTGGTCTGTCTCCCAGTTTGCCTGGTGTGGCGGGGCAGCCCTGTGTCTGTGTCCATAGCAGCCGCCCTCTCGCAGTCTTAGTAAGCGAGGTCAGGGACACCCTGGTGTCTTCACTCAGCCTCGTGTGGGCCGTCACAGGCTGCCCCACAGAAGCGCAGTGCCCCCTGCAGAGCTGGGAGGTGCGGGGAGGAGCGGAAGTGGGTGTTCCCTGGGTTCACCCTGCCTTGAAAGTGCCTTTTTTTAAAATCCTGAAACTGATGCCCGACTGGTTTGGCTCAGTGCATAGAGCCTCGGCCTGCAGACTGACGGGCCCCAGGTTCGATTCCTGTCAGGAGCATGTACCTTGGTGGCGGGCACATCCCCAGTAGGAGGTTTGCAGGAAGCAGCTGATCGATGTTTCTAACTCTCTATCTATATATCTATATCTATATATAAATATATAGATATATATACCCTGTTTCCCCAAAAATAAGACAGTGTCTTATATTAATTTTTTCTCCCAAAGTTTCACTAGGTCTTATTTTCAGGGGATGTCTTATCTTTCTATGTTCTAAGTCTTATTTTTGGAGGATGTCTTATTTTCAGGGAAACACGGTATATATATATATATATAATTTTTTTAAATTATATATATATATATATATATATATATATATATATATATAATTTTTTTTTTTTTTAATCCTGAGACTGTTGACTCTGCGAGGTCAAATACGATGTCTTCAGCTCCCCCAGCACTCGCAGAGTGCTGTCTCCCACGTTTCTCCTGAAGATCTGCTGAATGAAGGGTGTGGGCCGTTTTCCTCTCCGCTGCCTCTGTCACTCAGATAGGAGAGCAGTCGGGGGGCAGGGGGGGCATTCTGGTGGGCGGGCTCTGGGCGGAACCCGAGGCCGATGGTGCACAGGCAGGGGAGCGCCTGGCCGGCTCCGTGTGCTGCCAGGACCGTGCAGTGCGGGGTGTACAATGCGTGTGCTGGTCGCCGCCTGCTCCCGTGTCTGTGCCTGAACCCGTGCGGCTCCCCGTGGCCCAGGAGATGCCCCAGCGTGTCGTTGAATAGTGGTTGGGAATTTCAGCCTCAGGGCCACATGGCATGCGCTCCGTGACCTGTGTGTCCCCTTGAATCCACTCAGGAATTCTCAGCAGGCAGGGGGAGAGGGGATGGGGAGGGGGTCCTTCCTTTTTAAACGAACTATACTTCACAGACCGTAAAGCTCACCATTTGTAAGTGTAAGCGTCAGGGGGTTTAGTATCTTCCATGGTTGTGCAGCCAATCACCACTCTCTCATGTCCAAGTCGTTTCGTCACCCAAAAAGAGACCCGGGACCCGTTCGCAGTCCCTCCCCATTGCCCCTCCCCGGAGCCACTCACCCGCTTCCGTCTCTGAGGCTCTACCTGTTCTGAATTTTTTATATGCAGTCCGTCAGGGTTTTCGATGCCAGGTACCCGGGGATGTGATAATATGCTCAAGCAATGAAACCACATCTGCTGCAGCATCTAAGTGGCTTTTGCCCTCTGACCGATTCACTTAGCGTGTTTCCAAGGCTCATCCATGTTGCAGCTTGCATCAGTACTTCGTGTGTTTTTTTTAACTGAATAATATCCCTTTGTATGAATACACTACCTTTTGTATACCCATTCACCTGTGGATGGACATTGTTTCCACCTTTGGACAATTTTGAGTAATGTTGCCGTGAACATTGATGTACGTGTTTTTTGTAGTCGTACATTTTCGTTTCTCTTGGGGATATCCCTATGAGCGAAATAGTAGGGTCGTATGGTAGCTATGTTTTCCCCTTTTGAGGACCTGCCAGACTGTGCTCCAAGGTGGCTGCACCAGTTGTGCCTCCCCCAACAGTGTGTGTGAGGGAATGTCCTTCTACCGGACTCCTCCTGTGAGCTGGGCCTGAATCCATCACTGTGCCAGGCCCTCTCCACACCCGGCCTCCCAGGACCCGCACGCCAGCCCTGGGGCGTGCCTGTGCCATTTCACTGAGGAAGACCCTGAGGCTCAGAGCAGGGATGTGACTCTGAGGGGTGAGTCCTGGAGTCACACCCGGTTCTTCCCCTTACGTCTCCCTGTCTACTGAGTGATTGCTGACTGAATGAATGACCAGCGGAGGATGCTAAAGTGATCCCTGACCGGTTTGGCTCAGTGGATAGAGCACCCGCCTATGGACCGAAGGGTCCCGGGTTCGATTCTGGTCCAGGGCATGTACCTTGGTTGTGGGCACAGCCCCAGTGGGGGGTGTGCAGGAGGCAGCTGATGGATGTTTCTCTCTCATCGGTGTCTCTAACTCTCTCTCTCTCCCTTCTTCTCTGTTAAAAAAATCCATAAAATATATATTTTAAATATATATATATATATATAAAATAAACCCTCACTCCTCCTGGGCATTGTTTTGCAGACAGGAAAGTTGGACCCCCACTACCCAAAGGTCTGTGGGCACAGAGGGAACGTCTTAGACATCAAGTGGAACCCGTTTGACGACTTTGAAATCGCCTCTGCTTCTGAAGATGCCACGGTGAGTGTCGGCACGTAAGGCTGTTCCCTGACCGAAACGGGTGGGATTGGGGAAGAGGGGGATGGAACTCAGCTCTGATGCTCCCGACTCCTTCGTCCTTCATGAGGTGAGGTTACTGTGTGGGAGGGGAGTCATTTAGATTTTGACCTTGGGGCATGACCCCTTCTCTCCTTGGGCCTCAGTTTCTCCACCTCTAAAATGGGCATAGTAGCTCCAACTGCCTGGTGAAGATCCAGTGAGGTTCGTGAATTCCACTGGGGAAGTCCCTCTTCTGGGGGAACTCTGAAACACCACGAGGAGCAATTCCACTGTGGCCAGAAGATACCGTGCCACTTACAAACAGCAGTGAAGCAGATTTTAAAAGGATTAGAGTGGGAACCACATATGAATATGGACACCAAAACCACCCCACAGCTTCAATCCCACCAACTTTTTTGAGCTCCTGTTCTGTACCAGATACCTATTCCTTGTACCCACAACGTTCAGTGTTATTTACTTATAATTTTTATTCTAGGCCAATTCTAAAACGTGGTGGGTATAGCTTAAAACAAAAGATACAAATATGGTCAGGAGATTCAAGTACGGATACATTTCATAGTTCCCATTTATTGTGGGCCCACTGTGTTCCTCGTTACTCATATCATTTCACTCAGTCTTCCCGTCACAGCAACCTCACAAGGTAGGACCATTTCCTGATGTATAGAAGCTGAGGATCTTGAGGTACGGATACAGACCTCAAACTGAGGACTTACTTCTTTTCTCACTGCATGATGCCAGTTCTCTAAAGTGCAGCAGCCACAGAGGGAGGAAGTGAGGAAATAATACTCGAAACGTTGGCAATGGAGGGTTGTAGGTTTAGCTCAAGAGCTGCCTGGCAGCCAAGGCAAAAAGGGAAATAGGTTGTACTGCAGAACCCTCACTGTCTGATCACAGGAAGCACAGCAGTTCATCAAGACAAGCAGGCAGAAAATTCTCAGTTTCCCGAGGGGATCCTGAGGAACACAAAAGGGGCCCCTTTCAAAGGGTCTGCCCTGTCCTGCTGCGGGGATGGTGTTGGCTGGCTCCCTAGTGCCTGGAAGATTCAGTACAAACCCTTCTTCTGGCCATTCAGGCTCCAGCCTGGGCCTTTGAGACCAGGGCAGGAGGAGACCACTGTACTTCGAGGGATGTTCTGTGCCAGAAGGCAAATTTGCTCTGGCACCCTGCCCGAGAGTCAGGCCCGCTGCCCATCTACCCACAAATGACCTTAGGTCATTAGGATGGCACAGATTACCGGGGGGCCGATCGGGAGGCCTGGGACTCACCTCTGGTCAACGCCGGCCCTGCTTGGGCGGGAGGACCTTGGCGAGGCCCTCCCTCTGAGGTGCCCCAGCTGCCCCTCCCCGGAGGGAGAGGTGGATGCAGAGCAAACGCCCCACCCCTTCTGGCTGGCCCTGCCCCTTCTGCTGGCCCCGCCCCTTCTGCTGGCCCCGCCCCTTCTGCTGGCCCTGCCCCTTCTGCTGGCCCCCGCCAGCCCTTAAGGCACATGTGTCAAACACAAGGCCCGAGGGCCAAATCCGTCCCGCCAGGCCTTGCAATGTGGCCCGCACCGCGCTGTCATCACTGCACTCCGCTGCGTTTCCATCACAATGACAGTTTATGACTGTTCAGTAAACCATTCGGCCCGCGATTTAGGCTGGATTTTAGATTTTGGCCCCTTCTCTGATTGAGTTCGACACACCTACCTTAAGGTGATGGGGTGCCAGGGCGACCCTGGCTGACAGCCCCCTGGGCCACGTATCCCCGGCAGATCAAGATCTGGGCCATCCCCAAGCAGCTGCTGTCGAGGAACTTCACGGCCTACAGGAAGGAGCTGGCCGGCCACGCCCGCCGGGTGGGCCTGGTGGAGTGGCACCCCACGGCGGCCAACATCCTCTTCAGCGCCGGCTACGACTACAAGGTGGGTCTGTGTGCGCTCCCCGGGGCTGCCCGAGTGGACGGAGGGGCACGCCCACACGGCCCCGGAGACTGGCCGTCCTATCGCCAGGCGTGCGGAGGCCTGGCTTCCTCCGGGGGCTCCGAGGAAGAATCCTCTGTGAGTCTCCCAGCTCCCGCTGGCTCCCGGCACGCCTTGGCTCGTGGCCGCATCCCTCCCACCTGCCTGCGTTGGCACGTGGCCTCCTTTTTCGTCTGTCTGTGTATTTTCTCTTCTTTTTTTTGTTTGTTTGTTTTAATATATTTTATTGATTTTACACAGAGAGGAATTGAGAGGGATAGAGAGTTAGAAACGTCGATGAGAGAGAAACATCAACCACCTGCCTCTTGCACACCCCTCACTGGGGATGTGCCCGCAACCAAGGTGCGTGCCCTTGACCGAAATCGAACCCGGGACCTTTCAGTCCACAGGCCAACGCTCTATCCACTGAGCCAAACCGGTTTCAGTTTTTCTTTTCTTTTTTATAAGGACACCAGCCAGCGCAACTCGGGTGGCTCAGTGTTTGAGCATCGAATATGAACCAGGAGGTCATGGTTCCATTCCTGGTCAGGGCACATGCCTGCGGTTTGGGCTTGCCTCCCAGGAAAGGGTGTGAAGGAAGCAGCCGATCAGTGATTCTCTTTCATCATGGATGTTTCTCTCTCTCCCTCTCCCTTCCTCTCTGAAATCAGTAATAATATTTTTTTTTAAAAAAGGACACCAGCCATTGGATGTAGAGTAAAGTGACCAGACGTCCCACTTTTGGCGGGACAGTCCTGATTTTTAACAATTTGTCCTGCGGGACGCGAGACAAATTGTTAAAAATCAGGATGTCTGGTCACCTTAATTTAGGGCCCACTCAAAGTCAGTACGCCCTCATTAGAACTAATCCCATAAGCAAAGGCCTATTCCAAATAAGGCCACACTCTGAGGCTCCAGCTGGACGTGAGTTTGGGGAGGACACTGTTCAACCCCGCAGTCTGCCTGGAGGGGGTGGGCTGGGCCCTGGGGAGGGGGAAACCCATGGTGAGGGCAACTGAGAGTCCATTCCGACTCGCCTCTGACCTGCAGTGTGAGCCGGGGAGTCCTTGTCTTCTCCAGCCTCCGTGTCTCCATCCGTACACAGATGGAGCTGGTGTGACCACAGCTGTGGCTTTTCAACTCTTCCCTTCACAGCTCTGTGGGGCTTTCCTGAGGCGGCTGAGGGGCCTCTGTGTCCGGTAAAACGGAAGCGGTGGGGAGGGCGTCTCTCCCTTCAGGCCAGAAATACTAGGTGGGGTGTGTGTGCAGGGACTGCTTGGGGTAGTGCCGGTTCTTCTGTACACAACGCCAGGGGGCGCTGTTCCCAGCACGGGCTATGGGGATGGATTGCCCTGGAGCTGTGTGCAGTGCAGCCACACTGCTCTCAGAGCCCGCGCAGCCAGACACGGCTGTTTGTCTGTGCGAGGTGGGAACTGCGGTTTGAAACCCCTGGACTAGCTGGTCCCCCATGTTCCCTTTTTTTTTTTTTTTTTTTTTTAATATATTTTATTGATTTTCCACAAAGAGAAAGGGAGAGGGATAGAGAGCTAGAAACGTTGATGAGAGAGAAACATCGACCAGCTGCCTCCTGCACACCCCCTGCCAGGGATGTGCCTGCAACCAATGTACATGGCCTTGACCGGAATCAAACCTGGGACCTTTCAGTCCGCAGACCGACGCTCTATCCGCTGAGCCAAACCGGTTTTGGCCCCCCAGGTTCTTAGCGTGGATGTCTCATTGCTCCCAGGCAGAGGCAGATGGTATTTTTTTTTTTTTTCTTCACGGCCAAGACAGCCTGACTCCCGGCTCTCCCCTCCCACCACGTGGCAGCTTCAAGCCGGCAGATCCACGCTCCCAGCGGAGGCCTCTGGGCCAGACTGCCATCTGTGGCTTCCCCCCGGGGATACCGTGTTTCACTCCAGCCCGGCCGGCGTGTGACTGCGGGGCCCGGGGCGGGAGGCCGCGGCGCTCAGCGCCGGCTCTTTGCCGTGCAGGTGATGGTCTGGAACCTGGACACAAAGGAGTCTGTAATCGTGAGCCCCGTGAAGACAATCGACTGCCACCAAGACGTGATCCTCTCTATGTCCTTCAACACCAACGGCAGCCTGCTGGCCACCACCTGCAAAGACCGCAAGATCCGGGTCCTGGACGCCCGAGCGGGGACCGTCCTCCAGGTCAGTGCTAGGCTGGAGGGGTCCGAGGAGCAAGGAGTGGAGCGGAGAGGGTGGAGGCTTCTGAGAACAGGGCAGTCATGCTGTTCATTGACAGCAATGTAAGTTCTGCCCAAGCCTTCCCATTTTTCAGATGGGAAAACTGAGGCTGAAGAGAGGCTAAGCGACATGCCCACATCGAAAGCTAGTATTGAGTCCGGCCTCACACCCAAACTTGTCAGTGTGCCTCAGCTCTGTCCAGGGGCATGGCATGGGTCAGAGGCCTCAGGGTACCACCGCTGACCTGCTGTGAGACATGGCCGTAGGCAAGCCCGTGTAGGTGGCCAAGCCTGTGTTTCCTCCTCTGCAAGAACAGGCTGTTCCTCTCTCCCCTCAGAGCATTAGACCAGACAGCCCAGCCCCGAGCTTTGCATACGGTGTGTGCTCAGTAATCTCCCCACGAGAGCATGGAACCGGGCGAACATTCGCCTCCTGCGGCTCAGACACACAGCCCTGGAGGGGTTCTCCGGGCAGAGCGGGGTGAGGAGGGCAGGCGTTCCAGGTGGAGCAGCAGCGTACACAGAGGCCAGGGCGTCCCTGACGGCACCTGTCCCTCCAGGAAGCCAGCTACAAGGGGCACCGGGCCAACAAGGTGCTGTTCCTGGGGAACCTGAAGAAGCTGCTGTCCACAGGCACCTCCCGCTGGAACAACCGGCAGATCGCCCTGTGGGACCAGGTGAGCCCCCACGCAGGCCACC